CCAAAATATCAAACAGGATCATTGTCTCTGAGTAATCTTGCTTCCTTATCACTACTGAGAAGGTGTCATAGAGTGGGAGTGCTTAGATCCTCTAAGATCCTTAGGATCCTAATAAGATCCTTATTTTTAAATCCAGAGATCTGGATTTAAAAATAAGGATATCAGAACAAATTTTAATTCTTGTTTGTAGAATAAACCACAATTGTCTGGATTGACATAGCATGTTAAACCAAAGAAGCCATGAAATGGTTATAGTAGTGTGAAATATAAACCACACCTCAGTTGGAACTCAGTTGGAACCTAAGGTCCACTAAGGTTCTCCATTTTTTAAACATTTTAACACCTGTAAACTGCCCAGAGTATCTGAAAATCAGGTGGCATATAAATGTATTATTATAATTATTATTATTAAACAAGTAAAGATTATTCTTCTTGGTTACATGGTATTACTGTTGATTTTCATACTAAAATGGTATGCTTCAACAGATAATGAAGAGATGCATAATATCCCTTCAAACCTCAAACCATTTTAGATGATAGGTGTGTGTGTGTGTGTGTGTGTGTGTGTGTGTGTGTTTTCTAATCTTCAACGTTTTTTTAATCTTCTGCCACCATGTAGTGTGACTAACAGTTGAATCTAGAATGGCCTTATGCAGAAGGAGGAGGATGGATTATGCCCATACATTAAGGTTTACTTCCTAAGGATGGGATCAGAATTAAGAGAAAGTAGAATTAATCCTATACATCCTTAGTTGTTTGTCCATGTTCCTTGCTGTTTGGTCTCTTGTCTGTTACATGGTATTGCTGCTTCTATACAAAAATAATATAATTGTTGTATCTGATTTTGAAACCAATGCTATGAGGGTTCAACACCCATTTTCTACTCCTACATTAAATGTCAATGCTTTATAAAAGATTAGAAATTAGAAGCAGAAAAATGTGACTTGGGTATAGAGTTGGTGCATCTTTGATGTCTAGTTGCTTTGAAAATGCGATTGATTTCTCAAAATATGTCTCCTGTTATTTTGCTAAACATCAGATAAATGCACAAATGGATTTTTGTACGTTTATACAAGCAGAGGGTCAAGTGATTCACAGGGTCAAGTGATTTCTCTCCCTGAAGACTTTTGAATTCACATTGGGATAAATCGTGTTAGAATCTTGAGATCCACCCCAAGGGCAAAATATGTCACAAGATGCATTTAGATTCATGTGTACCATGACCTTAATTTTCTCTGCCAAAGCATACCTTTTAACAACAGGCTACAGTATTTAAAGAGACAATGATTCAGCAATGTTTTGTGCCATATGCTATACCCTGTTAGGTCATTATGAGTTGTCATGGAAGAGAGGGATATTTTTGCATTGTTTTTCTCCATTTAACTCAATGGGACAGACATTTCTTGCACCAGCTTTCTCAAACCTGGCACCTTCCTTATATGTGGAGATTATACCGGTAGTAAGACTTTCCAGCCACTGCAGTCCCCCCATAAATAAAGGATAGCCAACCGGAGAAGATTGCCTATTTTGCTATTTTATTTTTCCTGGGGAAATTACAGAATATTACCCACTAGATTGTTCAGGGAATTGCATTGTATTTCATGACAACAGTGGTATATAATTTGTCCCACCACTGTAAAAGAATTGCTGTTGTAGCAATTATATCCCAAATTCTCTCAAGAAGGACTTAATTTCCAAGCATGAACAAATGTCTCTGAACCAAACTACAGAAGATACAGAAGACTTTGAATTCTGGACTTGTTTGGGAGGTTATTTTAAACCTACAAGGGAAAGAAGTTAATTTTCATTTAGATACCTAGCATAGAATTTCCCAAAACTGATAGAAAGCAAATCAGGCTATAGGGCCGTGATGGCGAACCTATGGCACGTATGCCCTCTCTGATGGCACGCAAGCCATCACCCCAGTTCAGCTCTGCTACGCATGCGTGTGCACCTCCTACCGGCCAGCTGGTCTTCGGGTCTCTGCCGTGCATGTGGGGGCGCAGGGCAGGGCTGAAATGCTCCCGGTTCGGACCGGATCACCCGATCCGGTAGCGATGGAGGCGGGTGGTTCGGAGAACTGGTAGTAAAAATCCCTGCCCCCCCCCCTTGCCCAGCTGAGCCGCACAATCATCAGAAGCTTTTTTTTTTACTTTTAAAAGCATTTTTTCTACAACCTGTTCGGCCAAAAAAATGCTTTAAAAAGTAAAAAAAAAAAAGCCTCTGATGATCACGTGGCTCAGCTGGGATCGTCAAAGGCTTTTAAAAGAAAAAAAAACCTTGGCCTGATCTCTTCCCTTTTTAAATATGTAAATTTTAATCTGTTTTTAAATTATTGGGGTATTTTAATTTGTCTGGGCCAAAAAGTTTAATTTGATTTTATTGGGTTTTTAAATTTTGTGTATTTATGTATTTTATTGTTGGCTGTTCACCGCCCTGAGTCCTTCGGGAGTAGGGCGGTATACAAATCAAATAAACTAAACTAAACTAAACTAAATGCCTCTGACGATCCAAGCTGAGTTGCCTGATCGGCAGAGGCTTTTTTAAAAAAGCTGGGATCATCAGAGCCTTTTGAAAGCATTTTTTTACAACCGCTTCGCCGAAGAGATTGTAGAAAAAATGGTTTTAAAAGTTAAAAAAAAAAAGGCCACGCCCACCCAGTCACATTCCCCCCCACCACCACGCCCACAGAACCGGTAGTAACAAATTTTAGATTTCACCACTGGCGCAAGGGGGGCGCATGCCAATCTAGGTTTTGTTTAGGAAGATTGATGGGTATATTATCCTGGCCAGAAATCTTTCCAGATTTTACTTTATTTAAAAATCACAATCTCTCCCTTAGACACTGGTTCTCACTGTACAATCTGCTTTGATTTGATGTTACTTGAATTTTCAGTGAAGATATTTAATGCCTTCTCTGAAAAACATATATTCTAAGCAGTTACGCCAGGAAAGGAATACAAAACAGGTAGTCGTCAACTTACAACAATTCATTTAGTGACTGTTCAAAGTTATAACGGCACTGAACAAAGTGACTTATGACCTTTTTTCACACAACTGTTGCAGCATTCCCATGGTCATGTGATCAAAATTCAGATGCTTGGCAACTGACTCACATTTATGACTGTTGCAATGTCCTGGGGTTATGTGATCACATTTTGCAACTTCCTGACAAGCAAAGTCAATGGGAAAGCCAGATTCATTTAACAACCATGTTACTAATTTAACAACTGCAGAGATTCACTATTTATTCATTTATTCATTATTTAATATATGGAAAATACATGGACTTATAGTAGTTCAATTGAAAAAATCAGACATTGGGCCGGTGTAGGCTCTTGATGGACATTCAGACACAATGTGATGGATATTTTGTTGAGGAGCACAAGTGTCACACTGAGGGGTAGAGACAAGACCCCACTTGAACAATGAGTCCTGGCAGACACCATGTTAGTGTGTGTTGATGTCAAAGTTGTTAGACAGCTGTTAGAGATTCACTAAACAACTGACAAGAAAGTAAAATGGGGCAAAATTTACTTAACAAATGTTTTACTTAGCAACAAAAATGTTGGGCTCAATTGTGGTCGTAACTCAAGGACTACCTGAAGATGTATGCAAGGAAAATATATGGGCATCTATTTCTGCCTGAATGATCTTAAAAGCATCCAGAACTGGGAAAACCAATTTCAACAGAAGAGTATTCTCTTCGGTTGAAATTGGTAAGCAGAAGATATGTAATTTTTACTGAATTCCACTAGTGCCAACCTTTTACATGGAAAATTGCAAGAGCCCTGTGATACCTTAAAACATTTACTGGTAGATATACAGGTAGTCCTCAATTTACATCCACAATTGAGCCCAACATTTCTGTTGTTAAGTGAGACATTTGTTAAATGAGTTTTGCCCCATTTAACGACTTTTCCTGCCACAGTTGTTAAGTGAATCACCAAAGTTGTTTAGTTAGTAACATGATTGTTAAGTGAACCTGGCTTCCCCATTGGCTTTGCTGGTCAGAAGGTCTCAAAAGATGACCACATGACACGGGGACATTGCAATCGTCATAAATATGAGTCAACTGCCAAACGTCTGAATTTTGATCACGTGGCCATGGGGATGCTGCAATGGTCATAAGTGTGAAAATCGGTCATCAGTTTTTTCAATTCCGTTGTAACTTCATTTAATGAACTGTTGTAAATCAAGGGCTACCTGTAATCAAATTACATTATTAAATGCAGATTGCAAGCCAGAGGAAGGCCTGTTGGGTAATCAAATATACCCTTAAATTGTATTTTCCACATATTTCCTACTGCAGCATCCTCCTGTAAAGTATAAGCGTCTGTTTTCAAGGATTACTGTAGCCGGGCCAGGTCTTCACAACAAAATCAAGACATTTTTAAAAACCTAACGAATTGATCTTCGGGTACGTTTCCCAGACTCCACAGGTAGATACGGCGGGCAGTGAAAGAGAAGCATTACATCCACATCCCAGCTTGGCAAGTACTGTTTTCTGGAAGCTAAGATGCCTTTTTATTTTCCCCTGAGAAAGGAGAGAAAGAAGTCTGGAAAACAATGCAGGAACCGCTCAGAAAGGAGAGGACAATTCCCAGTGTGGACAATTAACCAGTGGGAACAGCTTTGCCTTCAGAAGTTGTCGGTGCTTCATCACTGGAGGTTTTTAAGAAAAGACCGGACATCCGCCTATCTGAAAATGGCATAAGGTCTCCTGCTTGAGCAGGGGGTTGGACTAGAAGACCTCCCAGGTCCCTTCCAGCTCTACTCTGCTTGAGAGCGGGAATCCAGCCGGCCGGCTTCCACCCCGCCTCACGCTGGAAACCAAACGTCAACGTCAGTATTTAAACCACGCCCTCCAGAAAGCGGCGGGATGGGCGGGGGAGAAAGGTGTGAGTGGGAGGAGGAAAAAGAACGTTAGAGCCACGTGACGCGGTCAAGCCAATGGAGAGGCGGCCAAGCCAGCCCCGCCGTGAAGCAGGCAGGCTAAGAGGACTCTTGGCGGCGGCTACGTTCTCCTCCTCCTCTTTCTGCCAGCGCTCCCGGTAGTCGGAGAGCAGGGGGCGGGGGAAGAGGGAGACGAGTTCCGCGCGGGGTCTGAAGGAGGGAGCCAGCCAGCCAGCTAGGTAGCAAGCAAGTGCGGGAGGCGGGCGGGAAGGCGAGCCCGGCTGGCTGGCTGGCCGGCCAGCCGGAGGAGTAAGAGACAGCTGAAGAAGAGGGAGAAGGAAGGAGACGGGAGGGAAAGAAGGCAGAGGCAACGGGGCCGGCACCACTGCCACCATCACGCTTCCTCCTCCTCAGCTACCGTCCTTCCCGGGAGGCTGCGACTCCTCGGCCTGGCGGGCCCCCAGACATCCAATCGGTCGGCCATGCCGAATAAAAACAAGAAGGAGAAGAGTCAGGTCAGGCCCGAGAGAGGCAGCGTCGGCCGCGGAGTAGTCCCAGGCAGGAGCAGGCCCTTGGGGGGGGGGGGGGGGGGCTGGCTGAGATGTTCTACCTAACTGGTTGGGTGGAGGCAGACTGGTGGGCCTGGAGAGCTTGGGGAGGGGGCGCCCGAAGGGAAGGGCTACAATGCTGAGTGGGTGGGTGTGTATATATATATATATGTCCCGATTTATTGGGAATCGGCTAGGTTGGGAAAAGGTTTTGACGCTCCCCTGCACATTAGTGGAAGGTATTACTTGGGAATGAGTCCTTCCCACCTGTAGTACTTTATATGGCACTATTCATGTATGCATACACACACACATATATATACACACACACAGGTATTTCTTGTGTAAAGTCACCGCCCCCCTCCCAGTTCCAGACTTGGGTGGAATGAGGTGTGGGGAAGCAAGAAGCACGTGTTTGTACTCTGCGGAGAACGGGAGTCTCTTGCCTTTTGGAGAGGAAAAGGCTTAGCGCGGCATAAGCTCTAAATCTGACAGTCCTTTTAACCACAAGACTCTTTGCTGCAACAAACTTGACACAAGCTGCCCCCCCACCCCCGTTTTTGCAAGTGGTGTTTTGGAATGGTTTCTGGATGTCCTAAGTGTTCACTGATGAAAGAGGATGGGCTTATTTTGGAAAGTGACTTAAACTCTAGATGCTTAGTTTGGGGGGGGGGGCAGTTCTTGCAACAGACTGGCAAACGTGTGGAAAGCACTAACAGAGGTTGATGTAGGGAAATCAGTCTTGTTATAATAAACTCACTTCAGGATTCACTTGTTATTTTTCTGTCTTTCGTTTTGACATGTGTTTATGAAAGTGTCATTGAGCAAGTGTTAAGATTTAAAATACTGTTTTCCTATTGGAGCAGTGTGCAGGCATCATTCTATCTAGGCAATGGCGCAATCCTGTGCTTGTGTACTTTGGAATAAACTTTATTGCTCAATGAGTCTCATTAATTCAAGTATGCATACCAACAGGCTGTATATGCATTAAAGCTGTATACTTTGTCTGGTAACTGGCAAATAGAGATCTAGTATCTTATTGTTTAATATTGAGTGAAACAGGAAGGTTCTCTTGTTAATTAATCCTATAGTGTTGAATTCTATGGTAGCATCTCCATATATGCTCATAAATGCAAATGTTTATTACATGTATTTTATTACTTTTATTAAAGTACTTTATATACACCAGGGCCTTAACTGGTTTGCTACAATTCTGCTTGCCCTTATAAATCTCAAGAATAAATATCTAGGGAAATTTGTCTATTGGCTGAGGGCCTAGGTTCTTGTTGGCACTTGCATTCTGAAGTGTTTTAAACACATATATGAGTACAGCTCATCATTTGGCATAACTTTTTAAATCCTATACATGGAAGCTCCTTGGTAAGATACTTGAACTCATGTGACCTCTCCATATTACAAATTTAATTAGGCCTTACAGAGATTTAGTCTGCCTTTGCTTTTTAAAAACTATTTCATGTTTTCTGTCAATGACAGAATGTGCTTAGCACATTGTAAGCCACCCTGAGTCTCCGGAGAAGGGCGGCATATAAATCAAATTAAAAAAAAATAAATGAACAGTGGTTTCAAAACTACTGTTTTGAAACAGTATTCTGTTTGATGTAATGCCCATTTTTAAATGCCCATTTACTAAATAATGACTTTTTAAACAAAATTATTCTGTGTGCGCTTGAAATTTTCTTATCTCTGTCAATTTTAGGAACCTCCAAAAGCAGGCAAAAGTGGCAAAAGCAGCAAAGATGTACAAGATAATCTGGATATTGAGGTGAGTTTTTAAATACTGGAAAAGTATGCTATGTTCTATAAGATTTGAAAGATTTAGAAGTCCCTTGTTTTGTGACATCTCAATCTGAATTTTCTGAGTAACTTTAAACCATTTCTCGCATTTCCCTAATCATATGGATTCTAGGAATGATTATATTGGCTTACTTAATTGAAAGAATTATTACAATAATATATTATAAGTGTTTTATAAGTTTAAGAAAAATTACTGTATAAAATCTAAGTTTATTATTGAACATCTGGAGTCTCACCATATTTCAGTAGAACTGCTAGAGTATGAGTTAATTCACCTGTTCATATTTTAAATTGTTTATAAGCTTACAAATTGCAGTGACAAAAATTTCTTAATTAAATTAAAATTCTACCAAACAAAACTTTTAGAAATCTAATTGATTTAAAAACTAATATCCTGTTTTAACTAGTCAGTAATTGTCTTACCTGTTTTGTGTTTCTTACATAATGTAGAAACTATTCCTATAACCCTAGGGCTTTTCTATTCCATCATTCATCTCAGAAATACACGAATTTGCTTGTTAATATTAGAGTAACGATGTTATGAAAAGGATCAGGAAGATGATATTTCTGTAATTGATAAAACATTTAAAAGCTTGTTATATTTCATTAAGCAGGAATCCCTTTACTAAAAAGCAAACTATAATCATTCTGAAAGTTAGCCAATGTTAAGAAATGGTCAGTAATTCTAAAGTTCCCTCAATTAGACCTAGCAGCTCCTTGACAAGAGATGAACCTCCCACATTCTTCTTGTAACACTACTGCAAAAAGGATTCTATCTAATTATCAATAAAAATTGCTAGTACTGTAGAGACAAATAAGGGTCCATTCAGCAGGAAATGGCAAATGCTGTGTCAGGGGAACATAATTCTCCATACCACCAGTCATGCCTTAGTTAAACTAACCTTAGTTGTGCATTTTGGGGAAAAAGTGAAAGTTTTATGATAGATGCTAATGTTCATAAGATATGCTATGAGAGCTTGGGGAGTTATTTTTAAGAAATATATTGAATTTGAACTAGACATGGCATTACGGTATTTATTTAACTTAGATGCTGCTCATCTCCCTGCCCCGTGTGACTCTCGGCAGCTTACAGTAACACAACAATTACGAATTAGATATTGAAATTAAATAAGATGCTGTTACTTTATGAATCAAATAAAGTAATGATTCTCTGTTTTAAGATGAAAGTACATTTCCTTTAAGAAAAAATATTATAAATGATAGAAATGTTTTGTATCTTGGATTCAAAACAAAGGATTTAGAGCAGCTGAAGATATGCATGCTGCACCTCTTGGCACCTTAGAAAAACAGTGTCTGTTCCTGGTTTCACCTGATAGCCATACAATCGCATAAAAGTCATATTTGAAGTAAGGAAGAGCCAGTACATTTTTTGGCCTCCTATGTATACAGTATTTTTCTGTAAGAACATAGTTACCATGTGACTTCAGGAAAAGATACATCATCTTTAAGGATGTGCTGACAGATATATTCATGCCCACCTCTGTTCCAAAGCAGTTTTTCTGCTTCAGATTCAAGTGCTATGCATACCTAGTAAGGATGAACACCGTATATAAGTTTATTCTCAATGTTTTCCTTTGTGGAGCTTTCTTGCATTAAACATTATCAAAAATATTTGATAATATTTTCCCTGTTGTTCTACAAGTTAAAAAATAAATAAATAAATAAAAAAAAGTCATAGAAAAATTTTCTCTGTTGCTGGGGAGAGTAGAACTAAGGAGATAGGAGCATGCACAGAGATCTGATTGGATGTATATTTGGATTAGCTTCCATAGCTGCAATTCTTAAAACCACAGAATGGTTAAGAATTGAATGTCATTTAGTATTGCAGGGCATCGTACATGCTGAATTGTGAGAAGCTGATAAAGTGATGATTTAACATTCTAACACAAGTATTTTAAACATGGTAAATATTTTATCTTTTGTAGAAGTACATTGTACATATGTACATGGGAATACTAATGGGGAAGCTTGTTGCCCAGTTTGAAATTAAAGTTCTATGAAAATAGAGAACTTGCATATTCAAATGCAGCTTATCTCTGGATATATATATAGAGAGAGAGACCTTAAGAATCCTTTTCCAAGTAACAGATTTCTAGGCTATACAGTACAAGCATTTGACCAGAGAGTGCTGTTTATAATGGGTGAAGAATAATAGAATTAATTGAATGTATGTATAGATGTGCTGCAGACAGTAGAACTAAATGAGGTAATGATAGGAGAGCTTCTGGATCCAACAAAGGGGCCATTTACTATATTATTGGGTGAACCTTGTGATCAATCAGAAGCATTTGGGAAGCAGTGGTGTACAAAATTCAGATACTCATTTTCCTGAGCTCAAGAAAAGGCACAGCCCTGAAGTTTTCAATAGATATAGCAAAGGTACCTGCATTGAATCGGGTGAAATCTAAAATTTGTTACTACCGGTTTTGTGGGCTTGGTTTGGTGGGGGTGGGGGTAATGTGACTGGGTGGGCGTGGCCAACTTTTTTTTTTTTTACTTTTAAAAGCATTTTTTCTACAACCTTAAGAGGTTGCAGAAAAAAAATGCTTTGAAAAGCCTCTGACGATCCCAGCTGAGCCGCGCGATCATCAGAGGCTTTTTTTTTAATTTTTAAAAGCATTTTTTCGGCCAAAGAGATTGTAGAAAAAAATGCTTTGAAAAGTAAAAAAAAAAACAGCCTCTGATGATCCTGCGGCTCAGCTGGGCATGCGGGGGGGCAAGGATTTTTGCTACCAATTCTCCAAACCACTCGCCGCTATCGCTACTGGATCAGGCAATCCAGTCCGAAGCAGGAGTATTTCACCCCTGCATTGAATCCAAAACTCTTGCCTGCTTCATATCTAAACGCCACACATTTCTAACTGCAAGCAATGTTTTATAGTTGTTCATAATTATAGATACAGTAGGATGTAGTATATAAGAATTGTTACTACCAGCAGTGTCATTAATTTGTTTAGCCTTTTTTTAAAAAACAAACGAACATGTAATTAGGGGTCCTCAAAAATTCTAGGGAGGAGTCACGAGCAATTTAGAATAGAGTTGTTTTTTTAAACTCATCAAGCTCATACAGGCTTTCACTGGGCAATCCTGGAGCACACTTACATAGGTAGAGCAGAGAACAGGGGCATATGCAGAGGGAGAGCAAAAAAGTAAAGATGATAGCTTCAGTTACAAAAAGGTGGGGCTTTGCTCATTTACCCTTAGACACAATGTGGTTGTTTGAACACTCCATAGATGCCACTGGTAGAGAGCAGAGTCTTGATAAGGTTTTGATAGCAATCAAGTTTGCTTGTGCAGACAAAGTAGGATCGTGGTAAAATTCATTCCTGCTGTGCCTGGCCAAACCTGCAGTGGACTCGCAAGGCAAAGCAAGGAGCAAAACCTGGAACAACTTTTTATATATAGCTTTGTATCCCGTCTACCCATCTAAAAATGAACTCACCAGTCATATAGTAGCTTTATTATTTATTAATCTATCAATCCAGGGGATTACAAATTCTTACAGCATATACTGGTAAATTATAATGCCTGAAAATGTAAAGACGTATTGTCTTTCTAAGACACCCCATAAGCCTTTGTGTGGCAATAGGAGTTGAGTTGTTTCATGATCCATTTTACCTTGCCTCCAGTGCTATGATATGCTGTAATTCTGCCTTGTTTAATTTTGTCTAATTTTTGTAAATTCAATCTGAAACCCTTGTCTGAAAATGTACTAGCATATGTTATTTTTTCCCAAGTGTTAGTGAAAAATGCCAGATTATAAAGTCTAAAGATTGTCCGCAATTCAAAGGACAGAAAGAACAAATAATAGTAACTTAATGTATTTTATTTATAAGTATCTTTATAAATGATCACTCTGTTTCAATTTTAACATCACTTTCTAACAATATTTGTGCACTAGTGAAAGAAACTATTTCAGACATCATGCAGTTATATAAACATTAAAATGTAGGTTTCTAAGACCAAAACAAAAGAAGATTTATAGCCAAACTTGCAACTCAATTTGGATGGCGGGGCAGGGGTTGGAACTACATATGATGAGATGTAATCCTGATAGCAGTAAACTTGGTATCATCATCATTTTCTTAACAGTATCTAATAAAACAAAATATAAGGCATCATATGAGATGGTTTCTAATCAGGAGTGACATGCTCCTGTTTCGGACCGGTTCGGCCAAACCGGTAGCGATGGCGGCGCAAACCTCCACCCAGTCGTTACTTCCTGGTTTTAACTTCCTGTTACTTCCTGTTTTTTACCCTCTGCGCATGCGCAGAAAGGTCCAAGCGTGTGTGCACACTTCCGAACAGTAAGTGTGATTTCCCCCCTGTTTCTAATACTTAGTCAGCACTAATTAAGTAAAGCTGAATTGGTATAAACATACATAATACAGTATATATTTTGTCAGATGAGATACAGGACTACAATTTTTGGTAGCAGTTGAGCAGCTACATCTATCCTGGTTTCAGAAAAATTTCTGCATACTTCATGAAATGAGATTGTCATCACTTTGTTTTTTGCATCTAAAGCCAAATCTTCCTGTTATAATGGATACTGTTTTGTTTTATTTAGCATGGTAGTCTCTTAAAACTAGTATATTTTTGGGGAGATTTGACAAACTGTTAGAAATAGAGAATGGTTAATTTTCTTTTTCTCTGCAACTATTATTGCATTATAAACTTGGATCTCCATATAGTACCATTTATTGCCTTGCTTTGGATTCTAATTGAGATCATTCTATCATTTTGGCACTTGTGCACAAGCACTGACTTCAACTGCTGCAGATCTTCTTTGTCTTGTCCAAAGAAAATCTGGTGTTCCTCTGATGTGAATTGACCCAATCCAGGCCTTTTACTTCACTGATTCCCAGAATGCCAATATTCAGCCATGACATTTTTGCTCTGACAGCATCAAGCTTGCTTTGGTTCATATCCTGATATTCCACAGAC